CAGCTTTCCTGCTCCTCTGATGCTGCTTGGCCTGCTGTGTTCATCCAGCTCTACAGCTGGTTATCTCAGATTCTCCAGCATCTGCAGTTCCTACTATCTCTCTACGTCTAATCTGGGACAGGGCCAGGTCAGACTGAGCTGAGAGAATGGGTGGAAATGTTGATGGTAATGTGCATGGAACGAAGATGGCAACAACACTTTTATTTCCCCCCAGTGTTTGACTAATGGAAGCCTCGGGATATTAAGATTGTTGTCAGAGCAGCATTCTGACAGCAACGAGGCAGTAGAGAGTGAGTGTGGCAGGGACACAGAAAGGCTGCTCAGGGTTCGTAAGAAACGCAGAAACAGCGAGTGAGCAAAAAGAGGCATCACTAGTGGTTAAGGAAGAGTAGGGACATAGGATGGTTGTTGGGTTTGAGTGTAAAGGCGATGGGTTAAAAGTTAGCACACACTGCTCTGGCTACAAAGCCCTGGTACCACTGCCATGAATCCAGAACCAGGGCAGAGATGGGTTAATTATGAATTATGAGGAATGTTTGCATTAATTTAGTTTGCATTCCCTTGAGTTTTGGAAGTTGGGGAATTGTCTGGCATGTGAAGTAGGAGTTAGGTAGATAGAGACACCATTTAGTTTGATGGGCAAATCAAGAATGAGGGAATATAATTTACCATTAATTAATTTGCCATCCAGGAGTGAAATTAGAAGGCATTTTTCGCATCAAGGGGAGTGGAAATCTGGAATTCTCTCCGGGGCAATTATAGCTTTCAAGACCAAAATCAATTGCTTTTTTGGATAACGTGTGGTGTGAGGGATAATATGCAAAGGTGGATAAATCCAGTTGAGATGCAAGTCAATCTAGGTCCAACTGAATAGGCAGCTGAGAGGGCTCCTCCTGTACCTAGCCGGAATTATACACAGAGAAACAAGAATCATTTTCAGCTGACTAACTGAGGACAGAATTTGAAGACAACACTCTGTTCCACATTAAAGGCTGCAAAGAAACCAAGGAGAAGACCAAAACTTGCGTTCATAGAGAGTTTTTAGCACTAAGTAAAAGCATCTCCCACCACTGACCCAGTCAAAATCAGGCTGGTGAGGTTAAAGCTGTCTTGATGCAATGTGAGGGGCTGAAGCCTAACATGAGAGACAGATAGAAAGCAGTAGGAAAGATACCAGGGAACAACCAACACATTTTAAAAATAAAACCCTGGAACACCAGAAAAATCACTCACTTGAAGGATCCAAGTTTTTCTGCCACGGAGATTGCTGGAAACTGGTCAATTAAAATCAACTTTGATGTGAAGACATCAATATGACCTGCCGATTAAAAAACAAATGGTTGAACTTCTAAAAATCCAATAGCGACACAATGTTAAACGTAACCTTTGAGTTTCAGTGTTTGCTGGAATGGAGTCTCTCTGTTCGGGCTCATCAAAACACAGTTTCTAAAAACAAAATTGGAATCTGCGGATTAACCAGAATTTGACAGAAAGAGGGTTTCGGGATGTCAAAGTGCTTTACAGTTTATGGAAGTGGAAGTAAGGTAAAGTTGCGATAGTCCTAATGGACAATAAGGTTGCTCTCTCATTACAGTCAGAGAGATGTACAGCATGGAAAGAGACCCTTCGGTTCAACTCGTCCATACCAACTAATGTCCTTAATTAATCCAATCCTATTTGCAAGCATCCTAATAGAGAAACTGCTGGGTCACTGAATATATTCAAGGCTAAATTAGATAGATTTGTGATCAACGAGGGAGCTCATGGTTAACGAAGGTGAGAGACAGGAGAATGAAGTTATCATACAGTCATAGAGCATGGAAACAGACCCTTTGGTCCAACTCGCCCGCACTGACCAGATATCCCGATCTGACCTAGTCCCATTTGCCAGCATTTGGCCCACATCCCTCTAAACCCTTCCTTGTCATATACCCATCCAGATGCCTTTTAAATGTTGTAATTGTACCAGCCTCTACCACTTCTTCTGGCAGCTCATTACATACACACACCACCCTCTGTGTGAAAAAGTTGTCCCTTAGGTCCCTTTTTTTAATCTTTCTGCTCTTACCTTAAGCCTATGCAGATGAGTGATGGTGCTTTAACATGAGGATTGCCATGCCTCAGGTGAGGCGAGATGATGACAGAGACAGCCCTTAACTTCATGTAATGAAGTTATGTGGAGTACAGTTACTGCTACAATGGCAATTATTGCAACCATTTTGCAAGAGTCCATAAGCAGCAGAGGCAATGTAAACCAGGGTAATCAGAATTCCTAAATATTTTTGTAAAATAATTCCTCGAGATCAGTCAGATCGTACTTTATCAGGTGTTTAGTTTACTGCTGAACCTGAAGTGCAGTTCCACACAGACCGACACTAAAGCACATCTGTGTATAGGCGTTTCTGCTTCGGTTGCAATCACAATTTAGGCAGAATTGTACCTATTTTGTGAAATGTGTTCTTTTGCACAAAATTTCAGATCAAACTCTTTAGCCTATCACGAAGGCCAGAACCAGTCGTGAGTTTGAGAAGTTGAGAGGTTAAAAAGAAAATTAAGAATTCTTCAATATTCTTTGATGTATTGAATAATGGCAACTTGGTCCAATTTGGTCAATAAAGCTAACAGCAGCAGCAGAGAGTCATAGAATCCCCACAATGTGTGGAAGCAGGCCATTCATCCCATCAAGTCCATACTGACCTTCTGAACAGCATCCCACTCAGACACACACCTCCACCCTATCCCTGTAACCCTGCATTTTCCATGGCTAATCCACCTAGCCCGCACAATCGTGGATACTATGGGGCAACTTAACATGTCCAATCCAGCTAACCTGCACATCTTTGGACTGTGGGAGGAATCTGGGGCACCGGGAAGAAACCCACGCAGACATGGGGAGAATGTGCAAACTCCACACAGACAGTCGCTCAAGGCTGGAATCAAACCCGGGTCCCTGGTTCTGTGAGGCAGCAATGCCAACCACTGAGCCATCACAAAAAAAAGCAAGGATTAATCAGTGTCTAGTCCACTGCCTGAGAGTAACCCAATTTTAAATAACCGAAAATAACTTTAAAAAGGTATAGAATCAAATTTTGCTAGTTAAATTAATATAGAAAAGTTAGCATTCATTGTACATTACAAAAAAAATCTCACAAAATGTTTGTGTCTCTTAGTATTCTGGCCTCCAAATGTTTAAATTAATTTTTGGAACCTCTGCAAAGGCTCAGAAACAAAGTGTATTTAGCAGAAACTCCCACTAGCTAATTCACCCCAAAGGTTTGGCCAGTTTTGTGGGGATAGCCTATTTACAGTCTGTTATGTTGCAATGAAAACCCAAACACACCACTTGTAGGTACTCTTGATGCTTCTCCTTGCATGCTCTCTGATCCTCACCACCTCAAACCATGGCTGATCCCCGAATGGATGGTAGACTGAAGGATATGATGAGTCTTAACATTACAGTGTGTGGTTGAAAATAATTCAGCTGATGACTCAAAGTGCTTCAAGGTGCCCAATTCTAAGCTGATCACTTTCAAGTCCATCCCATATGAAAGGGTGACACTACCACACAACATCGATGGATGCAAAGACCTGACTTTGTCTTTACAAGAACAACGCATGGGTCACTCCTGTCAATATTGTCATGAATAAATATATCTGCATCAGGTAGAGTGCTGAGGATGTGGTCAATTAGGTTTTTTTGTCCTTCGCTTGCCAGTTGGAAGATATGTCCTTCAGTCTTGGTCAGCTCAGTTAGTAATGGTGCTACGAACCCACTCAGTCAAGTTCCCTAAATGGACAGCAGTCTGTGCTCTCTGTATCCTTAAAGCTTCATCGAAGTTGTACTCACCATGGAAGAGTGCTGACTCATCAGCAGTGGGAGGTAGTAGGTGGTTCACAACAGGAAGTGTCCCTGCTAATTGTTTGACCTTGATCATAGACATCACAGAGTTTGGAGACAATGTTGAGGATGCCCTCCTGACTGGTTGTCATCACGTGCCACCATTTCTGGTAGGTCTATCCTGCCATTGGGACACAACAATTCCCAATGGGTGATGGAGTCTGGTAATAATTTGCTGCCAAGTGGATTTGATGTGTGCAACTAAGTCAGATTGTTGCTATTTTGTGAGACAGCTCTCCCAATTTAGGCACAAATTTTCACATGTTTAAATAAGGAGGGATTTGCAGGGTCAACTGAGCAAGATGCGCCTATGTCATTTCCAGTGCTAGGTTGGTATTGAGTGGTCAGTCCAGTTTTACCCTTATTTGATATTTCTAAAACAGTTTGATACAACTGTTAGCGTGTTAGACTGTCTTCAAGGGTGTTAACGGTCAGCTCATCATCGTGCATTATGAGTTACATTTTGGACGAACTGGGTGAGGACAGCAGATTTTGTGGTGTGTCAGGTGTCCGTGCACCCCTATCAGTCCCACTTGTCCTCTCACTACCATTTTACAATTTACTGTTACTTTCATTAAACTGTTTAGAAATGTTATGGAGCAGGTGGGACTTGAACCCAGATCTCCTAGCTCAAAGGTTAGACACTACCACTGTGCTACAAGAGCCCTGCTTACATTTTGGGTTCCATTTGGTCAGGCTTACCCATGTTCTCTCTTTGCCTCTTGCATTTCCTTTGCACTTTGTTTGAATTCTCAATAGCCAGGTTCTCACTTGCATCATAGAATTTAGAGTACAAAAGGAGGCCATTCGACCCGTCGTGTCTGTACCAGTTCCCAAAAGAGCTCACTCTCCAGCTCTATCTCCATAGCCCTCTAAATTCATCACTTTCAAATATACATCCAGCTCTCTTTTAAAACCTCCTATGAAATCCCCCTCCCCCACTCTCACAGGCAGCGCATTCTAAATCCTAACAACTCTCTGAGTGAGGAAGTTTCTCCTCATCTTACTCTAACTCTCTTGCTGACAATCTTGACATTAGGACCCCTAGTTACTGACATTTCAACTAGTGGAAACAGAATATCCTTCCTTACCCTGTTAAATTTTGAACACTCAATAAGGTCGCCTCTTAATCCTCTATCTCCAAGGAAAACAAACCTGATTTCTCTAATCTCTCCTTGTAGCTAAAATCCTTCACTCCTGGTATCATTCTAGTAAATCTCCTTTGCACTCCCTCAAAGGCTTTCACATCCTTCCTTAAGTAAGGTGCCTGGAACGGAATACAATACTCTAAATGTGGTCTGACCAATGATTTGTAGGAGGCATCACATGGGGAGGCGATGGCCTAGTGGTATTATCGCTGGACTGTTAATCCAGAGACCCAGATAGGATTCTGGAAACCTGGGTTCAAATCCTGCTATGGCAGATGGTGGAATTTGAATTCAATAAATTAAGAATCAAATGATGACCGTGAATCCATTGTTGATTGTCGGGAAAAAAACCCATCTGGTTCACTAATGTCCCTTAGGGAAGGAAACTGCCATCCTTACCTGGTCTGGCCTACATGTGACTCCCAGACCCACAGCAACATGGCTGACTTAACTGCCCTCTGGGTAATTAGGGATGGGCAATAAATTCTGCTTAGCCTCATGCCATCAATGAATAAAGAAAGCAAAACCTTTGTTGCTTTTGTACTCTGTGCCTTTATTTATAAACCCAAGGAACCTATAAGGCTTCTTAACACCTTTTTCAGCTTGGAATGCCACCTTCAGCAAATCATGCACAAGAATTACAAACCTGATCTGACTAACTCGAACCATTAACTTTGTTTCTCTATCCACAGATGCCACCAGATCTGCCAAGTTTGTCAAGCACTTTTTTATTTTATTTTATTAGTCTGAGGTGACCTATTCACAAGATATAGCCCAGCCTACTCCCATTTCCTAATTCTGTATTATTCTCCATTCTATTGCGTGACTTTTTTTTAATTACTACTTTTCATTATTTCTAAACAATGAAGATTATTTTAACTAGTCCAAATACTACTGGATAACTATTCACATGTAAGTAATAAGTTACATAAACTGAAATATTGAGTTGGATAATTCAGAGAAGCAGCAGTCAAATTGGATTCCATTCTGCCCATATTTATTTACTGAACTCCATATTTCTAACCAGGAAGTCTGATTCTGGCACCTTCAGAAATGTGAAACGTGCCTTGCAGTGGGGTAGCTGGGGAAAATCTAACCACGCTCCTTTTCATGACAGTCAATGGCCCACGTTCTGAGAGTTAACTATCCAATAGCACAGCCAGACGCTGTTTCTATCAAAAAAAGTGGAGCTGCAGGACAAAAATCTTCAAAGTTCTTCCAATAAATATGAACAAAATGAAGACTCTGAATTTCTTTTAAAATTCACTGCTT